TTGTGATAAGAATTTTTATTGCAAAGACATTCTCTATTTTCAGACGCTTATTATGTTGTTACTCCCAATAAGCATAAAATATTAACTAAATTTACGAGTACTGAAAAAGTTAAGATAATCCGAAGAAAAAAACACTTTAACCCGGCTATTAGAAGTATGTTTTTATGTGAGAGTTTGCTTCAAAATTTTTGTATAACATTAGATTTCATCGCAGAATGGGATTTATCACCTGACGATGAAAAACGCTGTAAAAAAAACTCGGCTTTTTCAACAGATTGATATCTAAATAAAAAAGTAATTTCTTGGATTTTCGAAGTAATATTCAAAAAAAAAACCAAATTGATTCGATTTTCGAAATTGCACATTCGGCCTGACCGATAAGTAAGCTCTATTTGAAGACACACCTCGAAAAACGGAGAAATTCTTTTACATAGGAATGCAATCGATAGAAACGTAATTAATAAAACTTTCGATACTGAATAATTATCAAAGTTTTTTTTCAATTTTCGTCAAATTAAAAAGAAACTTGTTTTCGATTTTAGATCTAAGCGATATTAGATAACATAATACTGTTAGCTCCTCATTTCACTTACCCGTTTCTCATCAACACCATTCCTATCTCTATTCCAACCCATACCAATGAGTACGTTATCTCTATGATTCTCCTGACCAAAACTAGTTTGTTCTTCTTTGGTAGATTGGATGGCCCTATCCATATCAGCTCTTTTAGCAAAATCAACTATTAAGCATTTTGGATTTGAAACTGGCCAACGTACTCCATGTAATGCATGGCGGGTTTCAATAGCTTCACTACAATAAAAAATAATATATGATTTAATAATTAAAATAAATAGCTTGATATAAAAATACTTACTCTTCTGTTTCATATTGTACATAACATTTTGATTTGATACGATCAATCCAAAAGCCATCTTCCACAAGTTTTCCTGTACGAGCTAACAAACCTTTCAGTTGTAATACCGTGAAAGGTCTCACGAGATTTGTTATAAAAAGTACATTACTCGCTTTTTTATTTCTCGGACTCGGTGAACGGTGTTCCACTTTTATATTAACTTTGTTAATAATTCTTGGGGCAGAAGATAATTCAATTTGATTACGTATAGGTTTTTCAGCACTATTAGTACTTGTTCTGTGAACTTCTCTTTCCGGAGACGGTGTCTCTTCTCCTTCTTCGCGTTCCGAGATTATTTCTTGAATTTCTGGTGAAGAGCGTATTTTTTGTTTCGGTGCGGAATGCACATCTTCAGGGATCGATGTTTCAGTAGTTATTACCAGCAATGGGCTACGATTTTGAACAGTCCTCTTTGTAATCCACTTACGTTTATTCACATTTTGATCAGTTTTTTCTTCGGTAAAAGTTACTTCGTCTGCAGGCGATGGATCTGCGTTTTCATTTATAACATTATTAGTAGCGTCTTTCATTTCTTCTTCAGCAACTTTATTCTGATCTTCATTAATGACTTTTTCATCATCTTTTTTCTCCGACTCTACAACATTTTCTGCTTTATTCTCATTTTTACTTAACACGCCTTGGGTTTGTAACTTTTCTTCGTCATTATCCTCTGCTTGAATTTCCAACACATCCAATGGTTTCATTATATCAACATTTGTTTTTGGGCTTGATGACACTGCTGCCTCTGTTAAAACAGTATCAGGTTTTTGTACCTCCTCAACATTTTGATTATTTTTATTTCCAGGTTTATTATCAACCGAACAATCTTCTTTTATGGAGATATTCTCTTCAGGAATAACATCAATTTTGGGATCATTGGTAATGTTTTGAGCTTTCCGTTTGGCGGGACTGCTTCGATCCTTTACCGGTGTTCGATTACGTGAACGACTCTTAACAGTTTCTAAAACTGGTTCTTCGTTAGTACTCTCTTCCGGACAATCTGCGTTAGCGATACATTTTTCTGTAACATCATCCTGGGGAGGCATTTCAAGCTGTGCGCCTTTTTCGCTAGCAGTTTCAGATGTTTGGCGAGACCGTCGACTAGTTCGACGAGACGCCGGAGCTGGCGACGCGACATCAGTCGACTTTTTCCTTTCACTTCGTCGCCGCATTACAAAATTAATGCTTGTACTTTATCAATATATTCACGTTAATTTTGCTTTATGCTCGATACCTATTAATGATAAGTTAATTCTGTAAAATATCCACGACTTTTGAAAATTCGATACAACAAGCACCACTCTGTAAAGAATGAAAGGGAACCATCTTGTTTTAAGAAGTGCGTTCAGTGTATCAAATTCGGATGCTGCCAGACTCAAATTATATTATCACTTTTTTTAAGTTCCGTTCACACTCAAAACTATTAACATATGAAAAAATTAAGCTTGAACTCTATATAAGCTATTGGGAACACAGCTACTTATTTAGAAATATGTAATTAAAAATTAAATAGTCAATTAAACTAGTGTTTATAATGAATTTCAACACAACAGAAAAAATTAAAACCTTAGGATTTGCTATAATATACCTATATGTTTAAATAATTTAGTTTAATTTTAATTCGTTACAAATCCAAAACATTTAAATTAATAATTAATTAATTATTATTATTTTTACTTACATACTTACTGGTATCATCTAAATTAAAGCAACCTCTCACTTAAATTGTAAAACTAGTTAAAAAAATTAAATAAAATGCAAAATGATTTTTTTTTTTGTCATTTGAACAAGCATTGAAAATCTCGCGTCAAGAAATTTGTAAGAAAAAATATAAACGCACTGTCAAAATCAGACCTAAATACCTAAATTATTACAAATGAAACTAAATGTTTTATTTGTTTCCTCGTTTTCCGCAACCAGTTTTAATTCTTAACGCGCTGTCAAAATCTTAAACGCTCCAGCTTTCCCAACGCCCATATTTAGGTATGCGCTACACAAAATGTATGGCTATAAGGAATTTTTGACAGTGATTTACAGCTGCCGCTATTTTTATCTTATCGTTTTTAAAGCATGATTAAATTCATTACAAAATATCGATAAACTATACCGGCCAAAAAACCCTCGAGACTATGGATAGTTTTGTTTAGAAAAACTGCAAAGTACTTTTTTGTTAAAGACAATAGAAAATGTTAACTTTATTAAATAGAAGACTGGGATTTTGTATTAGATACAACTTAGTTAGGAAATTGGTCTTACCGGCGAGTACTGACAATACTGTTGACCCAAAGGTTATGTACGAATTAAAGAAATATTTAAGGAATCAACGGCTGCTTTGTAAAGATGGTCCAACATGCCTGCTTACGGAATGTCATTTATGTAACAACATATCTGGAAATGAAGCATTTGTAAATAAACGAACTGGTGTGTAATTAGTTTTGTTGCGAAATTATATTTTATTCTATTAATTTTCAAGGTCTCTTCCTGTGTCCAAACTGTGAACTCAAGAAAAATGTGGTAGACATTCTTCATTTATACGAGAAAAATTGCAGAGGTGATACAAAGTGCAGAGATGTGGAATATAAAAGTAAATTTACGGGCCTACAATCAGTTTCACAAAGTGTTTGTGATAAGCTTGGAATGAGAGGACTCCAGTCTGCAGACTTGGAGCACATGGGAGCACAATATGAACCTAACTCAAATTGTTTACGTTTCCCCTTAAAAAATGTGGCAAATAAAGTAGTTGGTGAGAAAATTCTTCACTTGTCCGATAGGAGAGACGAAACAATAGGAAATTATAACCAATCTGGTTTGCTATTGTCTAATGCCCCACAAAAATCTTCGCGAGTAGTTTTAGTATCTAACCTTATGGACTTCATCGTTTTATCGATCCAACGTGTGAGTAACAGTAGGTAAATTTAACTTCTTTCCAAATGTGATATTGCTTTAAGTATTTATGCGCATTGTACGATTTTTTATTCATTGACTTTATTTTCCGACATTTAGCATCAATTGCATGTTTGCCTTACGGCCTGAAATCTCTTCCTCAGGAATGTCTTCCATGCCTTGAAAAATTTAAAGAAATAGTTTTTTGGTTTAATTTCGAAACAACGGATTGGGATGCCGCAAAGAATTTTGCCAAGAAACTGGAAGAAAATCGTTGTTTTTTTATTCGACCTACTGGCACGGAACCTGCTCCATTTGAAGCTCATAAAAAACGATTTAATTTACAACATATTCTAAACAAAGCCACCCCAATGTGCCACAAATCTATAACTACGTTTAGCGCCCTCAAAAATGATATTCTCAGTGAGCTGCAAAACATTGAAAAAGTCAATGGAGTAAAATGGAAACGATATCCCATATTGAATAAAATTCTTAAAGGACATAGAAAGGGTGAATTAACAATCTTAACAGGGCCTACTGGCAGTGGAAAAACTACCTTTATGAGTGAATACTCGTTGGACTTGGCTTTACAAGGAGTTTCTACTTTATGGGGATCTTTTGAAATTCGCAACTGTCGTCTAGCAGCGACATTACTACGTCAGTATGTTGGTTATTCGCTGGAGGATAAACTTAACGAGTTTGAATATTGGACTAGTGAATTTGAAAGATATCCCTTATATTTTATGACTTTTCATGGACAACAACCCCTTAAACTAGTCATGGAGGCCATCGAACATGCCCAGTATATTCATGACATTAGCCATGTTATTATAGATAATCTGCAATTTATGATGGGCATGTCAATCGCACAGAAAAGCGATAAATTTTGGGAACAAGATTCGATTATATCTGCATTCCGTTCATTTGCCACGAAAAATAATGTTCATGTGACATTAGTTATGCATCCGCGTAAGGAACGTGCAGACGAAGACCTTACCACAAGTTCGGTGTTTGGAACAGCTAAAGCTACACAAGAAGCAGACAACGTACTGATTATCCAAGATAAGCGTTTAACATCTCTTAGAGGAAAAAAATATTTGCAAATTGTAAAAAATCGATATAGTGGGGACTTGGGAATTATGCCTCTGGAATTCGATAAAGAATCCCTGAGCTATTCTACGTCAAATAAAAAGAAGAAAACAAATAATTCTTAGCTAAGTTGTAGTTATAAATATTATGTTAAGCTCGAAATGTACATATGTTGTAAAGATTGAAGTTTCTAATATACAAAGTTGTTCTAAGTGGAACTTTGTTTATAGTTTTTGGTATCGAGCAGCTTTTTTCCGCACATAGCACATATAGCTTTTTTGTAGGCACATGCTTGACAATAATGGGAGCCAATCTGATGTACTTTCTGCCTACATATTCTATGTGAAAAAAAACGTTAATTACATTCGATTCCAGCAACGGGTTTCCACAAACTTACTTACCTACAAGGAGCTAAACTTCTAGAAATGGGATTTTGTCTGTCTCTAGCGGTAGACAAAAATTTGTTTTCGTTGATTTTTCTTTTTCCTGCTCCATTTTTCCACGGATCAGGTGTTGCAATTTTGGACAACTTTGCTTCGCAACGATCACAAACCATTCCGCACAGATATATATTGTTTATTTTGACTAAAATTAGTGATGTGAGAGTAGCAAATATGTTGCATTTCGATTAATAATTTAATACCTTGTCATATCTATCGCTTACTATATGCATATAATCATACATATACATAAAAGTATTATAACATTTATAAATCTCACCGGAACAGAGGTGAATGAGAAAAATAAATAAAATAGAAAATCTTCAATCTGTAAATAATATGGTGTACAAATTTAATTCGTCATGCTATAATTGTAATATGAATGACCTTTGGTCTATTGTGCCCTCTTCTTACTCATGTTGACTCGCCTAGACCCAGCCCATTAATGAAGTCCAGTAGACTACTTGGCGCTAGCGGGGCAATGCGATCCTTATCCGGAAACAACACTCCAAGGGCCTTTGATCTGCGTCTACTGACTGCTGAGCAGTCAATCAACAGATGATCCGGGGTTTCATGCACCCTGTCGCAGAAACAGCAGTTGGCTCAAGCTGATAGTCCCATGCTGTGCAGATGCCTATTTAGCTTGCACTGACCAGAGTACCATACGACTAGCAGCCTGAGTTTGTTCCTAGGGAGGTTTATTTCAATTTTAAACCTTTTCAGGTTGTATCCTCCCATTAGCAGCTTGGCGTGTCTCATACCATGAGCTTGCAGCCAATGCTCCTCCCTGCCTTGCTAGTGCGTGGGCCTACAATCCCTGCGCCGATTCCCTCCGACATTTTCGAGCCATCGGTGTACCACCTCATAGTACTGTTCCTTAACAACAGCAATCGTCTTTGCTGTCGAGGGTAACCTTAAACTTTTTCCTGAGGTTAACCTTTTTGGTACCACTATCCCTCGGGAGGAGGGCCAATGGTAAATTGTCACTTATTTTTTCCATCCTCTGGGAAGAGACTACCTTGCCTTTTCCACACCCGTCTGCCGTTATTTGCAGAAGGGTGTGTTTGGCTACCTGACCAATGACCACATGAAGCGGGGTAAGAAGGAGTCAAGAAGAACCTCCAGTGCTGTTGTTGGACAGCTGCGCATTGCGCCCGTTACGCAGACACAGGCCAGCCGCTGTAGCTTCAGTAGCTTAGTCTTAACCGATGTTTGCGACGCTACTGAGGCGTTCCCACGACAGTCGGGTCTACGAAAACCGGAACGGACCCAGATTTTTAACTGGCCAAGGACTGTCAACTCGGCAGAATTCTGCCGTTACAACAACGCTACTAAGGCCCAGGCTGCCGCCCCATATGTGATTATCGGTCTCACTATCACCTAACTATCTTTGGCTTACAACCCCAGGACCTTGTTTTTGTTGTTGTAACGGAAGAAATTCTGCCGAGTTGACAGTCCTTGGCCGGATAAAAGTCCGGGTCCGTTCCGGATTTCGTAGACCCGACTATCGTGGGAACGGACCTTCCTGCCAGCCGATGGCACATCATTAGGGCTTTTGTCGCTTTGACCAGGTCAGGTTTACGTGCTGCTTCCACTCCTCAAAGCGGAGTCTAGCATCAACCCGAGGTATTTAACACTGTTGGTCATCCCTATTTCATTGCCCCCAGTGAGAGAATCCTAAGACCGGGTAGGGTCCTGCGTCTCGTAAACGAGATTACCGACGTCTTGGAGGGGTTGATATTCAGTTCAACCTCCCTACACCACCCGTTCAAGATTTCGCCAACGAGTAGTCTTTCCTTCCTACCTTGGGTATGAAGATCACCTTCGCTGTCCTCCATACCTCAGGGATGTACGCCATTGCGAGGCTCTCTCTCAGCAGCCGAACTAGGTGAGGCAGCAGAAACTGCTCCCCCTGTTGCAACAGCGCCGGAAAGAGGCCATCCTTTACTACATTGTAATATAGTATGTAGTAAATATGTACATCTTGTAAATCCGCAAATTCTTTAAACACATCACCTAAAACATAAGGCGAGGGAAAATATGATGTATATACAAGAATGGTAGAGAAATAGATTTCGCAATACGCATGTTTGCTTTCAGTCAGCTGTTTTTGCATACGTCACGGTTGACTTATTATTCGCCCGCGCCTTTGAATGTGAATTCGCATTGTATTTTCAAGTGTAGTAATGATTCTGAACTTCTATATATTTTTAAATGCATTGCGCAGTATTCGGTTGTAATAATAACAATGGTAAAAATAGTGCTACGAAATGAAGATTTTTCCATTTCCCTAAGTATAAAACCACAGTAAAACAAAGGATTCATTTTTGTCGTCGGGCGGACAAAATTAACGTTAAAAATGCGTGCATTTGTGAAGTGCACTTCGCGTCAGAAGCCTTCGAAAGAAATTTGCAGTTTGAAATGGGTAATTATATCATTTTGATTACAATAATTTTACTTTTATAACCAAACACTCTTGCAGGTTTAAGTTCGCGGAATCCAACGAAGTTCCTACCTAGCGCTTTTCCCACGTTAACCACTGCTGCTGCAGAGGCTAATGAACGGCAGAAAAGGATGGAGTCTCGTTCTAAAAAAGAGATGTGGACAACAATCCTGTTGGAGTAATTCATTAATACGAGGTTGGAGAGGCACCTCGAACTGCAGGAGAGGAGGTCATCAATGAGAAAGACGAGAAAATACTGCATTTGGAAACAGAAATGCTAGTCCTATTTGATATTATGAAGTATCTTGTACTTTCATAAGTATGAGCATTTCTTATTATTTTTAGACAAAGGATGTATAGTGTTGTTAGCACTTTGAATAAGTACAAAACGAGCAGTTAGTAGAAATTAAACGCCTTAAGATTTCCATTAAAACCGCGAAATTCCATAGAAATAATTTGGAGCAAAAACTCCAAAAGGTGCATTTTCACCAACGGCCAGGTAAGAGCCCAAATTCTAAAAAGTATGTGTGTCGCAAAATATACTAAAGTTCATATATTGAAAAATTAAAAAATGGAAACAAACGGCGCAATTCGAAAGAAGAAGACATAGCTAAGGCGTTCACGTTATATTCAACGATCCCGAAAGCGTACATACTCTTAAGGAGAAACAACTTTCCCCTTCCACGTGTAAATGATACTGATTTGCATATATGCAAAAATTATGTTCAGATGCACTTAGATTTAAGTAATTTACAACTGTAGCAATAAAGTAAAATAACTGTTCTTTAAAGCTAGAATGTATTTTGGGATTCATTCTTTAAATAAAAACTTTTTTGAAAATATGTATAGCAAAAGAAGAAAATTAAAAAAGACAAAAAAATTAAAAAATTAAAAACATAATATTCAATCTTTTTATTTGCATAAATGTATATGGTTGAAAACAAACACAGCAAAGAGACAAAATTAAATAATACAATGAAATGAATATGTGGGTAAATGTTCACTATAAAATATTCACTTATATTGATATCTTTTATTAATATTTATTTATATCGATGTTAACTTTTGATGATATTATCTTTTTTCGCCTGCAATACAAAATTGCTTCTTATTGCAAAAAAAAAAACTGAAAATCAGCTGATTGCACGTTGGTCAACCGGGGCGTAGATACGCAGAACGAAGAAAATTTGAAACCGTCATTGCGCAATCTTTGTTTTTATCATTCTTGCAGTATATGCTTACAATTTAACCCTTTGGGTTAATTGGATTGGCTGTTTAGAATGGAGCGGAACTATTTAAGAAATATATGAAATACATCTATTCATTTTTATTGATTTTATTTATAAGCACTACTATTTTGACATTGACCTTTTATCACATAATTAAAAAAAATAGTTTTACGAGTTAGTTCAATTTCTTTGAAGAGGAACGGATTATAGGCAAATATTATGTTATCATTATACATTAAAAACTACAATATTATTTGTCAATATTTAAAGATTAATTTTCTATTTTTAAAAATTAAAATTAAGTACCAGTATTTTTTTCAATCAATAATTTGAACTCCGGTATTTGTTCATTTTGCCTTAACCAAAGCGGACTCACTAATATTTGTGATTTTATGAACTCGGACGCTTTGAAACACTGAGAGCTGCAAAACTTTTTACGATCCGTTATATCGTAAACTTTGTTTATAGTCGTCGATATTTGATATTTTTTTGAAGGCACTCTAAATAAAAAGAATACTAATTTATGTAAAAATAGTATTTAGCTTAATTAAAACTTACTTTTCCAATAGATTCTCACATAAGGGATACCCACATATTAGAAGAATGTGCCGTTCATCTACGATGTCTTCGTAATGACATTGATTAATATCTTTCAACTAGACAAAAAAAATATAAAATTATGATAATTAAATAACAAAAAATATATAAAGGGATATGTACATGTCAAAGTGTAAATAAATTGACACAAACAACACACCATTTCGAAAATTATGTATCTTTACTTATGAGCTTTTATCGGTAAGACAAATTGTTTGGATAGCTTTTGTGTACTAACCTGAGATAGGAAATAATCTCTTGTAATGTTTCTTTCTAAGAATGACTCAACTATTTTCTGGGCTTTTGCATTACATTCTTTTTTCTTCTGTATAGCTTTAAGAAGCTGCTCCTCACTATATACAAAAGCTTTAGTTATTTAGATATTTAATTGTTATTGAATATGTTTACCTGAGACGATTACGATTTGACTTTTGCATGGTCCTTATTAGAGATGTAGATGTGGTATACCAAATACTAAAAACTTATCGATACTATAATTGTATCGATTTATTTAGGGCAGCAAGAATAACGCAATCTAACCAGAGAATATACAAAAAATGATTTATGTTTTCTGGTGACCGATTTGGGATCTGATAAACTTATATCCCCACTATGGTTTTTAACTCCACTCGGTTGAATTGAAGTGCTTCAGCTTCAATTGGATTGGTGTTGACAAATATAAAAAAGAAAGGTTTAACAGATTATTAAACAGCTGAAAATTTTTAAACGAAAAATCAAATAAATTTTATTTAGTTTTTGCTGACTAAACGATGAATAGTTATTTAAGTGGACATTAGTTGAAATTTATATTACGATGATTAAAGTTTTATTGATAATTACATTTTATTAATAATGTTTATTGCATATTCTAAGTTATTTTCGCTAAAATGAGAAACCATTTTGTTTTTTCTAAATAAGATAAAGGAACGTTATCAAAAATTCTTCATTCTCTTGCTATCAACAGTTATCAATAATGCATTTAAATGATTTTAACTTTTATCAAAAGAACTTACGATATATTTGGTTGCTGAAAAGCCTGCGTTTAAATATTATGTACACATTTCTGTTCGACATTAGTTCTGATTACTGATTAAATTAGTTTAAAATTATAAATAAAATATTTTTTTTCAACCTATTTTCTATTAATATTTTCCGTAATAAATTTTTTTCTACCTATTTTCTATTAATATTTTCCATAATAAATTCACGAATGTTTAACTACAACTGTTTATTAAAAGTTGAAATTTTTTGATACTCCAGGCAATCCGTCTGGTTTTTTTGAACAATATGTCGTTGGGTTGAAAACCGTAATAAGGGCCTTAACGTCTTCTTCTTCTTTACTGGCGTAGACACCGCTTACGCGATTATAGCCGAGTTAGCAAAGGCGCTAAGGACCGAACCAGGTCCTTCTCCACTTGGTCCTTTCAACGGAATGGAGGTCTTCCTTTTCCTCTCCTTCCCCCGGAGGGTACTGCGTCGAATACTTTCAGAGCTGGAGTGTTTTCATCCATTCGGACAACATGACCTAGCCAGCGTAGCCGCTGTCTTTTAATTTGCTGAACTATGTCGCAACATCGACTCATCAGTTGTTGTCATCGTCCAAGCCTTGCACCATATGGCAGAACGGGAATTATGAGTGACTTATAGAGTTTTGTTTTGTTTTTCGAGAGAAGACTTTGCTTCTCCATTTCCTACTCAGTCCGAAGTAGCACTTGTTGGCAAGAGTTATCCTGGGTTGGATTTCCAGACTGACATTGTTGGTGATGTTTACGCTGGTTCCAAGATAGAAGAAATTATCTACGACTTTAAAGTTATGACTGTCAACAGTGAGGTGAGAGCCGTTTGGTTGATGACGGGAGATATTTCGTCTTGCCCTCGTTCACTGCCAAACCTTTTTGCTTTGCTTCCTTGTCCAGATATCAATATCATTCACTCTGACGGAGTCTCTCTCCCACCACGAATCCCACACCAAACTTGCACTCATTTATATGACCACTGTAGTAAAGGCCCAAGGACCTACTCGTCTCTGTCCTTGTCCCGTCCATCGCATTTCTAGGACGGAGGTGATGTCAGCCTTTATTTTCACGAGGACATCAACCAGCTGGGCAGCGGCGCCTTTCCAATTGAGTTAACCGGACATTCCAGGTGCATGCCCTCAAATCGTAGTCCTAATTTCGTTTGCCAAGGGTCTTAACCTAGACAGTTGAAAAAGAAACTGCGTTTCCACATTAGTGGCATTGTTTGTGCTGCCTAAGTGAAACAACGTGTCGTGATTTGGAACCGGTAATAGTGTTGCTTCTTTTTTGGCCACATCGCTTTTCAAAGATATTGGCTTTAAAGATGAAAATGGGGAAGCAATAATTATGGACAAATCTAAAGTTTCACGTGAAATAAAAAGGGATTCTCTTCGAAGAAAGCAACCCAATGACTGAGATCTGGTAGCCTTCTCCTTTGATGGCAGAAAAAACAACTCTCTAACGAGCGAAGAAGAAAATGGTAGATATCCGAGAATGGGAAAAGAATCACATTTAGTGGTTCTTAAAGAGCCTGAGAGCAGATTGTTGGGTTACGTAAAAGTCGACGCTAAAACAAAACAGAGGCAATTATGCGAGTTCCTTATAGAAAAAATATGTTCCTTGAGTGACTGATTCGAATTTGCTGTGATTGAGAAGGTTTTTTTTTATTACACATTAATGAACTTCCACTTCGTCACTTGTTCTCCTCATTGGAAAAGTCCACTATAAGCAGACCACGCACATCTAGCAAATTGAACACGCGAGCAGATGGTGGTAAGCAAACAATTGTTTTAAAGAGCCCAACATGTATATTGTGATCTGAGCTAAATAAATAAAATATTTCTGTTGGCTGTACCCGACTTTGAGGCCAATTCGTTGGGAGATATGACTCCACCCATTCATGAAGAAACGCTCTCGACTGACGCCCAGTAATTGTATCGATTGGCAAATGTAGTTTGTGATGGTTTCTGTCCCGAAAATTTAGCCAGTATGAAACCTGGACAAATTGTGCACTCAAGATGGCTAACAAAGGCAAGCAAACTCTTACGTTTATAAGTGACAACTAGTTCACCATCAGCGTATTCACAAACTTTTGCAACTTATATAATGAAAGTTTACGTACCGATGTACTTATCATTAAGTTCTACAACTCAGGTGTATACGGCAGTCTCTTGTTTTTTAAATGTATACAATCCACGCGATATTTACCACCAACGCTTCGAGAAATTGTTAACACTGTAATCCAAAATAATTTATACATCGCTCATTCTGAAAATATCTTACTGGCAATGCTTTATGATAAGAGAAAAGATGTTCGCGAAAGTGCCATAAAAAAGATACTACCTTATCGTGATAAAGTTTGTGATCCTACTAATCTAAGGTTTTATGATAAAAAGCACGCAATACATTTTGAATGCTCAGACTACTTTGATCTGAGCCTCCATTCGCAGCAAACATTCCATACAAACACTTGTTGCAGTTTATTGAGGCTGATGATCCGTCGCTTCCTGACCTAGGGATTCCATGTCATACCCAAGCAACTGAGCATTGTGTACAGCTTCTGACAACAGTTTTCCGACGCGCTATTGCATAGAGACGATATCATGACCTAACTATAGAAAGTCGTACTGATACCAAGGTTTTGGTGAATGATACCGTGTAAAATGAAATGAAAAATTCTGTTGTATTATTATTATTTATTTCATTTTATTAACTACACCAAATATTTTAAATTTCAATTTGCAATTCATTTAAATCATAACAATATTATTATCGCGTTCGAAGGCCAAATCGACTTCGCGCTTTGCGTCTTCATCTGTCCATTCGCCACATTTCGTTAAAACATCAGGTTCAGTACTCGGTGTTGGCTATATACAAAAATATTTATAAATCAAAAGTTACTTAAAACGAAGAATTGTGAAATTTAGTAAGGATATCTCAATGAAGATTATTTGTTTATAAGTATCTCCGTCGTAGACTGTATTATTCTTTTTAAAATATATTGTTTGTTTTACCTGTTTGTCAGCTGCAGACAATTTTTTGAACATATTTGCATAAATTTTTCTTTCTTTATCGTTAGCCTCCTTGATTCGCTGTTTACAAATTTGTATTTGATTTATGGCAGCTTTGTTTGTAGGCTCCAATTCGATTACCTGCATATAATAATTATAGTAATTTTAATCAGAAATACTTTTTTTACATATACCTTTTCAAAATCTACAAGAGCCTCCTTAAATTCATTAATAGCTAGATTACATTGCCCACGACGGTAAAGTGCTTTGATATTTAGGGGATCTAACTTAAGAGCTTCAATACACTAATAAAATATAGATAGATATGTACACATTACTATTTACGTAAATATTAATATTTCTAAAAATTATACCGCTTGTTTTCCTTCGAAATAGTCATTAGTTTTCTGGTAACATAAAGCTATATTGCTGTTTGAGGCTATCTTCAACTTTTTTGATTTATCATTGTCTACAAATTAATTTGAAAATATAAAAGGATTAAAAAAAATATTGTTTGCAGGCTTTTAAATTTTTCCATTAGACATATTAATTAGTTCTTACCAATTTTCGAAATAATATCTACGCAACTCTTATACATTTTTATAGCCAACGAAAAGTTTTGTTTAGAGAAATATTTTGTTCCTTTAGATTTATACAATTCAGCCTGTTGCAATCTTTCCTCATCTGACAATTTCCATTCTTCTATTCCCTAAAAGTAAAAAATAATACCAACAACATTGATAAAAACTATGATATACATATATGTATATGTATATGTAGATATAAGAAATATAAAAAATTACCTTTTCACAATCAATAAGTTTGACTATATACTCGACAGCAGAGTTTGGTGGAATGTTAAAAACATCGTTTCCTTTACTTCCAAAGGCATATTTTGGCTGAATTTTTATTCTATAAAAATATTTATACAAGTCATATTATTGTATTTTTATGAACACAAGTTGTTATGTACATATGTTAATCATGTAAGTATAAATCATAAGATTTCACAAGATAAAATAAAAAAAAACGGATATCAACGAGAACCGACGAGGTTTTATCATAGTTTATTCTAAACCAACAAGACATACCGCATACTTATTCCGTTCCCACGACAGTCGGGTCTACGAAAACCGGAACGGACCCGGATTTTTATCCGGCCAAGGACTGTCAACTCGGCAGAATTCTGCCGTTACAAAAACAACAACAACAACAATACTTATTTATCCTACAATACAAATGTTTTGCTCATTGCGGTTTACAAATTTTTTGTTTTATGTTAGAATCCCACAAACTTTAGAACACACTTAAAGCGTGTGAATTTTTGAACAACTTTTAATTAAATGTATTAATATGAGTTACCTTGAAATTTCGCCAACAGTCATTCTTTCCAGTGCTATCTCAACTCCTTCAATAATTGAGCAATCACAACCTTCACCATAATCAAATTCTACATCACGCTCGTCAAAAGTATTCCCATTATA